AATGGAGGAGAAGGGATTGCAGCATGGCCATCCCCCCTGGGGGGTGATTTCTCGCTTTCTGTCTCTCTGTCTCTCTCTGTCTTTCTGGCGAGCACATGCGCCCTATAGCAAAAACCTCTTAAAAAAATTTAAAAAGTGGGTTAGAGGGTGCATGCACTCATGGGAAGTGAAAAATCACCTCCCGGGGGAATGGCCACATCGGAATCTCCTCCATCCTCCTCTCAGGATTCTGGGCATGGATGCACACGTGCCCAGCATGTTTTTCAAGCTACCAGGTTTAAGACTCGAACTATGCATACTTGGCCGTATGATCTAGCCCCTTAAGCACCATGTTAGCGGCTGGCCTCATTTTCTTTTCTTTTTAAATATTTATTTATTTTCTGGGGGCTGGCAGGTGGTGTGGTGGTTAAGGACACTGGACTCCCCCATAGCCAACTGTGGTTTGAGTCCTGGACCTGGTGGCTTGCTTTCTCATTTTCTCTCTCTCTCTCTCTTTCTCTCTGCTCAAAGTTAAATTTAAAAAATATTTTTCGTATGATTATTATTTTATGTTTTGCTATAGGGAATGTGTGCTCATTAGAGAGAGTGAGAGAAAGAAAGTGAGAAAGCAAGCCACCAGGACCGGGACTTGAACCGTACTCAGCCATGTGGGAGTCCAGCGCCTTAACTACCATGCCACCTGCCAGCCCCCCCAGTTGTTCATAATACCCACCTTCTTTCTGAAGATTTCTCCTTCAGAGCTTAGATCGGTGCCTGGCACGGTGGGGTTGCTGCTGCCTTTATTATTATTACTGTTGTTGTTTTGGGACGCGGTTTCATACGGGGTGATCGAGACGTCTTGACCATCTCCACCTCCCATCTCCGACCTCAGCAACAAGCCCTTCCTGTTCTATTTCAACATCGTGAAGTGTGCCAGCCCCCTGGTCCTTCTGGAGTTCCAGTGTCCCACCCCCCAGGTACCTTGTCCACCCATCCCTCCTCTCCATCCCCTGAACATGGGCCGGGACCCCTGCCCCGGGCGGGGACTGTCCCTGTCCATTCCTGCACCTCCCACCCGTGCCCACCCAGATCTGCGTGGAGAAGTGCCCCGACCGCTACCTCACCTTCCTGAATGCCCGCACCTCCCGGGACTTCGAGTACTACAAGCAGTTCTGCGTGCCCGGCTTCCAGAACAACAAGGTGAGCAGAGGCTGCCCATGAGGGCAGGGGGAGGTGCTGGCCTCGGGCAGTCACCTCCCGATGTCCCTCTCTTCTTTTTTTTTGGAGAGAAAGATTTTTGTTATGCGCTTGCTAGAGAGACAGAGAGACAGAAATCACCCCCCAGGGGGGATGGCCACACCGCAATCCCTTCTCCTCCATTCTTTTCTCGGGATCTTGGGCATGCATGCACACGCGCCTGGCATGAGTTCCAAGCTGCCAGATCTGGGACTCGAACCGTGGTCAACTACGTGGGAATCCGGTGACATAACCACTATGCCATCTGTTGGTCCCGCCTCTCTTTCTAGGGCGTGGCTGAGGTGCTTCGAGATGACGACTGCCCAGCTGTCCTCACGCCCAGCAAACCCTGTGAGTCTGGGCTCCTGCCAGGCCCAGGTGGTACCCGGGGAGGGTCCTTCGCAGGCGCGTCCTGAGCCGTCCTCGTCCCCTGCCCCACACAGTGGCACGGCGCTGCTTCCCAGCCATCCACGCCCACAAGGGCGTCCTCATGGTGGGCAACGAGACGACCTACGAGGACGGGCACGGCGCTCGGAAAAACGTCACGGAGCTGGTGGAGGGTGCCAAGTGAGGACGACCCCTCAGCCACGCCCGCTCACACCTTCCGGGAGGGGGCATCGCTTGGGGCTGGTCCGACACGGGAGGAGCTCCGGCCTGACTCTCGTCTCCCTTCCTCCAGGAAGGCCAACGGGGTCCTGGAGGCCCGGCAGCTGGCCATGCGGATATTCGAAGACTACACTGTCTCCTGGTACTGGATTGTCATGTAGGTGGGGCGGGAAGGTGACATCCCTGGCCGCCATGTCTAAGACCGGCTAGGCACCGGCTCATGGCCCTGGTTGGTCCCGCAGAGGCCTGGTCATCGCCATGGTGATGAGCCTGCTGTTCATCGTCCTGCTCCGCTTCCTGGCTGGCATTATGGTCTGGGTCATGATCGTCCTGGTGATTCTGGTGCTGGGCTACGGTGAGTCTCTGGGCTTCGCGGTCACCTTCTCGTCCCAGGGTCTGCGAAGTGTCCAGGCCCTTCGCTTGGCAATGACCCTGGAGAATTTCATCCTGGGCCATCAGGCGTGCTCCATTGTGTGCGTGTGCTCGCGGGAGAGAGAGAGAAAGAGAAAGTGAGGGGTTGGCAGGTGGCGTGGTGGTTAAGGGCACTAGACTCCCATGGGGCCGACCATGGTTTGAGTTCCAGACCCGGTGGCTTGTTTTCTCACTTTCCATTTTTCTCTCTCTGTCCCTCTCTGGTCAAATTAAAATAAATAAATTAAATAAAGTTAAATTTTTTTTGGAGAGATTTTCACTGTAGGGCGCGTGCGCTCGCCAGACAGACAGAGAGAGACATAGAGACAGAAAGCGAGAAATCACCCCCCAGGGGGGATGGTCACGCCGCAATCCCTTCTCCTCCATTCTCCTCTCGGGATCTTGGGCACGCACGCACACGCGCCCGGCGTGAGTTTTAAGCCACCGGGTCTGGGACACGAACCGCAGTCGACTATGTGGGAGTCCAGTGACATAGCCATTACACTAACTGCTGGTTCCCAAGTTAAAATAATTCTTTAAAAAAGTAGTAATCATGGGGCCGGCAGGTGATGTGGTGGTTAAGAGTGCTGAATTCCCATGTGGCCAACCGCGGTTCGAGTCCCGGACCTGGAGGCTTGCTTTCTCGCTTTCCCTTTCTCTCTCTCTCTGTCTCTCTCTGGTCAAAATTTAAAAATGATAATAACAACAAATGGAAATAAATAAATAAATATTTAAAAAAAAATCATAAATAAATTTGGGGCTGGCAGGTGGCGTGGTGTTGAAGCGCTGGACTCCCACATGGCCGACCACGGTTCGAGTCCCAAACCTGGAGGTTTACTTTCTCACTCTTCCTTTCTGTCTCTCTCTGGTCAAAACCAGAAGAGTAGGGAACCAGCAGTTAGCGTAATGGCTGTGTCGCTGGACTCCCATGTAAAGTCAACCGCGGTTCGTGTCCCAGACCCAGTGGCTTAAAACTCACGCCGGGCGCGTGTGCGTGCCTGCCCAAGATCCCGAGAGGAGAATGGAAGAGAAGGGATTGCGGCGTGACCATCCCCCCTGGGGGGTGATTTCTCGCTTTCTGTCTCTATGTCTCTCTCTGTCTGGCGAGCGCACGTGCCCTACAGTGAAAATCTCTCAAAAAAAAAACAAAAAAAACCCCAGAAGAGTAATGATAATAAATAAAACATTTCAAATAAATAAATAATTCAAAAACAAATAGAATGTACAGTCCGGTGGGCTCTCCGGGGTTGCAAATCTTGACTCCGGCAGTTTCCAGCTCTGTGACCTTGGGCAATGACTCATCTCCCTGTGCCTTAATTTCTTCCTCTATAAAATGGGAATAATTAGTGTTTGCTCGTTGGGTGGCTTAATGGCAAGCAGATGTGAGAGGCTAAAACCAGGGGAGGGACCTGTTGAGCCTGGACTGGGAAGACTGACGCCCTGCCTACACACCTCTGCTTTATGTTACGGTTGTCCATTTCAAATTTCCTTTGTGTTTTAATCCCTTAAAAATATTTTTCTTTGGGGCTGGTAGGTGGCATCGTGGTTAAGGGCGCTGGACTCCCACGTGGCCCACCATAGTTCAAACTGGCAGCTTGCTTTCTCACTCCCCCTCCCCGCTTGCTCTGTCTCCCTATGGTCAAATTAAAATAAATAAATAAAGTGTTTTTCCCCCCTTTTTTTGCAGGGGGGAGGTTTTTGCTATAGGGCATGTGTGCTTGCCAGAAAGACAGAGAGAGACAGAGACAGAAAGAAATCACCCCCCAGGGGGGATGGCCACGCCACAATCCCTTCTCCTCCATTCTCCTCTCGGGATCTTGGGCACGCACGCACACGTGCCCGACGTGAGTTTAAGCCACTGGGTCTGGGACTCAAACCACGGTCGACTACATGGGAGTCCAGTGACATAGCCATTACGCTAACTGCTGGTCCCAAAACAAATTCTTTTTTGAACAACAAAAGATTTCTTTTGAGGATTTGTACCGTAGGGTATGTGTAGCTCGCCTGAGAGAGACAGGAGACAGAGAGAGGGAAAGTGAGGAATCACCCTGCAGGAGGGATGGCCACGCCAACATCCCCTCATTGTGTTCCTGGATCTGGCAACTTGAAACTCACGGCCACCCAAAAATCCCACGAGGATATTGGAGAAGGGATCCAGGCATGGCCGTCTGCCCTAGGGGATACTTTTCTTTCTCTCGGTCTCTTGCAAGCACACGTGCTCTATAGCAAAAAAAAAAAACAAACAACAAAAAACAAAAAACAAGGACCTGAGGTAGCAGGTGGCATGATGGAGGTTAAGGCAGTGGATCTCACATAGCTGCTTCACAGTTCTAATCCCAGACCTGGTTTCTTGAGAATCACACCAGCAGGCGGTGTTCTGGTTAACGCACTGGAATTTCCACATGGCTGACTGTGGTTCGAGTCCCGGACCTGGCGTCTTGCTTTCTCACTCTATCTCTCTGTCTCTCTCTGGCCAAACTCAGGTGGAACAATAATAATACTTATTATTAAGTAATTAATTCATAATTACCCAAAAAAATCACACCGGGCACATGCGCATGCATGCCCAAAATCCCAGGAGGAGTTGGAGGAGGACTGTCCTGTGGCCATCTCTGGCGAGTGCACCTATCCCTGTTGTACCTGTCTTGCAAGGACTGGGGACTGGCCGGTGGGCTGAGGTCAGGCTCAGCGCCCTGGTTCCTCCCTCCCCCAGGGATATTTCACTGCTACATGGAGTACGCCCGGCTGCGAGGGGAGGCCGGCTCTGACGTCTCCCTGGTGGACCTCGGCTTCCAGACCGACTTCCGGGTGTACCTGCATTTGCGCCAGACCTGGATGGCCTTCAGTGAGTCCCCCGTCCCCCACCCCCGCGAGGCCTTGGAGGGCTGCCGGCTCACCCTGTTTCCTTCTCAGTGATCATCCTGAGCATCCTCGAGGTTGTCATCATCCTGCTGCTCATCTTCCTCCGGAAGAGAATCCTCATCGCCATTGCCCTCATCAAAGAGGCCAGCAGGTGCGCGCAGGGCACCGGGGGCGGGGCGCGGCGTGGCGGCCAGCTGTCCGGGCTGTGATCTTTGCGTCTGTCCCTTTCTCCCCAGGGCCGTAGGATATGTCATGTGCTCCATGTTGTACCCGCTGGTCACCTTCTTCCTCCTGTGCTTATGCATCGCCTACTGGGCCAGCACCGCTGTGTATCCACCTCCAGACCCCAGCTTCCCACTTCCGCCCCGGGACGGGTTTTAGGCCAGACTAGCCCGGAAGCCACCTGCAGCTTGGGGGCAGGGCTGGAACCTGATGGGGACTGGGTCCTTTCCTACAAGCCCCTGGGATGCCTTGGGTTCCTTCTTCATTGTTTTTGTAAATATTTTTTAATTTTTATTTTATTTATCTAGTGATTCATTTTTATCAAAGCTTTTACTTTAAAAAATTATTATATTTATTTGTTATCATTATTATTTTTTGCAATTTGATCAGAGAGAGACAGAGAGAGATTGGGAAAGCACACGCCAAGTCCGGGATTCGAACTATGGTTGGCCGTGTGGGAGTCTAGCACCTTTTACTACCACCCTACCTGCTGGCATCTCAAATGTTTTTTATTTTTATTTATTTTTGTATTTAAGGAATCATTTTATTTAACTTTATTTATTTTAATTTGACCAGAGAGGGACAGAACAAGAGAGCAAGAGAGAGAGAGCGAGAAAGCAAGCTACCAGGTCCGGGACTAGAACTGTGGTCGGCCATGTGGGAGTCCTGTGCCTTTAACCACCATGCCACCTGCCAGCCCCAGTCCTTAATGTTTTTTAAATTATTTTTTAGTTTAGTTTTCTTTTTTCTTTATTTGCAATAGAGCGTGTGTGCTCGCCAGAGAGCTAGAGAGAGTCGAAAAGTGAGAAATCACCCCCCAGAGGGGGATGGCCATGCCACAACTCCTATTCTTCCGGTCTCTCAGAATTTGGGGTACACACACACGCCTCGGATGAGTCTCTTGCTGTCAGATCAGGATTCGAACCATGCAGCCAGCCCTGTGGGATCCAGCACCTTAACCTCCATGCCATCTTAATTTTTTTCCTCCATACCATCTATTGGCCTTTGGATTCTTTTTTTTTAATTAATTAATTAATTAATTAATTTACTTTGGAGAGATTTTTGCTATAGGGTGCATGTGCTGGCAGGAGAGACAGAAAACAAGAAGTCACCTCCCCCTGCAGGAGGGATGGCCATGCTGCAATCCCTTCTCTTCTGTTCTCCTCTCGGGGTTTTGGGCACACATGTACGCGTGCACTGCATGTTTTAAACCATCAAGTCTAGGACTTGAACTGTGCTGGGCCACGTGGAATCCAGTGGCTCAGCCGCTTATGCTACCTGCCGGTCCTTAATTTTAATTTTTTTCAGTTGCCAGAAAGACAGAGAGGGAAAGTAAGAAAGCAGCCCTTGACCCCCTGTTGAGGTGTCTCACACTGCGATCCCTTCTCCATTTCTCGCTCCTTTGGAATGTTGGGTTTGCATGTACATATGCCCTCTTTTTTTTTTTTTTTTTTTTTGGAGAGGATTTTTGCTATAGGGCACGTGCGCTTGCCAGACAGAGAGAGACAGAGAGACAGAAAGCAAGAAATCACCCCCCAGGGGGTATGGCCACGCCACAATCCCTTCTCCATTCTCCTCCTGGGATCTTGGGCACGCATGCACACGCGCCTGGCATGAGTTTAAGCCACATGGTCCGAGACTTGAACTGCGGTCGACTATGTGGGAGTCTAGCGACATAGCCATTATGCTAACTACTGGTCCCATGCCCTCTGTGTGTCTCAAGCCACTGTGTCCGGGATTCGAACAATCTAATCGTCCATGTGGGATCCAGCTGCCTTAACCACCAAGCCAGGAACTGGCTCAAACCTCAGGTTCCTTAACGAACCATCAGCTTCCTGTCCACCTCCAATGAAGCCGTCTATAAGATCTTTGATGACGTCACCTGCCCGCTTACTGGCAAAACCTGCAACCCCGAGGTGGGCGTTCCTGGGGTGGGGAGGGCAGGTGTTGCCCCAGCAGCGCCAGGCAATTTGAAGCCTGTCATCCCACTGGGAGATCCTTGAGGAAACATTTAGCACCTGCTGTATGCCTGTGCTGGGTATTGTGGGGGGCGGGGGCGAGGCCCCATTACTGGATCTGGCAACTTCCAAGGGCAAGCTGGCTTCCTCTCTCCAATGATCCTGTCCACCACCCTAAATTTTGAAGCATGCATTCTTTCCCCTTTGACCTTATTTCCTGCACCCACTTCGTTTTCATAACCCTCATCATAGCCAGTTTATGCTTCTATGCTTTCACAAGTCTCTACCCTGAATTCCCGTTTCTTTTACTTAACTCTGATCCCAGGGCTCCTTGTCTGTAGTCTGACCTCCGACCTGATACCCAGGGCCCACGCGGAACTCCTCGCCCTGTATGTTGACTCTTTGTCCTTCCCACAGACCTTCCCCTCGGCCAATGAATCTCGCCTGTGCCCCAATGCCCGCTGCCAGTTCGCTTTCTACGGAGGGGAGTCGGGCTACCACCGGGCACTGCTGGGCCTGCAGATCTTCAACGCCTTCATGTTCTTTTGGCTGGCCAACTTCGTGCTCGCCCTGGGCCAGGTCACGCTGGCGGGGGCCTTCGCCTCCTACTACTGGGCTCTGCAAAAGCCAGACGACCTTCCCGCCTTCCCGCTCTTCTCTGCCTTCAGTCGGGCGCTCAGGTTGGGCTGGGGTTAGAGGTGGGATGGGGTGGAGGCCTGGCCAGGCCACTGACCACCCCGTCTGCCCGCAGGTATCACACGGGCTCCCTGGCCTTCGGCGCCCTCATTTTAGCCATTGTGCAGATCATACGAGTGATGCTGGAGTACCTGGATCAGCGCCTGAAAGGTGCGCTTCATCTGCTTATGGTATTGGTTGCTTCGGGGAGGGCGGGGCTAGGGGGCAGACTGTAATTGGTTCTAACCTGGGGTTGGGCGGAGTCAGGCTGGTATGACAATGATTGGTTACTGCCTATGTATGAAACTGAGGGGCTTGTGTGATTGGTCCATATGATAGAGAAGCAGCTGAGAGAGCCCACTGGGTAGAAGGATTACCCAGAAGGGGCGGGACCAAGAGGCCTGACTTACCATTGGTTTCCGCTAGACGGCTTCTGCCGGGATTTTTTCTCAAGAGAGCAGAACTAAGATTGGTTTCTTCACGAGGAGAGGTGCTGTGGCTTCGGATTCGTTGTACTTTGGGATGGGGCCAAGAGGGTGAAAAGGAGCGACTTCAGCGTGGTAGGCGGAGCCAGTTCAGCAGTGTGGGTTCTGATTGGTTCCTTTCACAGAGGTGGAGCTGAAAAGCAGCTGCCGATTGGCTCCTCTGTGAGGGTTGGGGCTGGATGTCCCGGATCGCGTTTATTCTCCCTGCCTCTTGGATGGTGCGTTCTATGAGTGCATGGGAGTGGAAGTGGGGGTGTCTGCCAGGCCACACTGATCCCCACTCCACCAGTGTATATCTTTTTTAAAAATATATTTATGTATTTATTTATTTAGAATTGTTCTGTTTATGATTTTTAATTTGACCAGACAGACAGAGAGATTGAGAAAGGGAAAGTGAGAAAGCAAGTCACCAAGTCTGGGTCTTGAACCACGATCGGTGGTGAGGGTATCCACGCTTTTATTCACCACGCCACCTGCCCGCTCCTCCACCGGTGTATCTCATCCTTCTCTTCTAGCTGCAGAGAATAAGTTTGCCAAGTTTCTCATGACCTGTCTCAAATGCTGTTTCTGGTGCCTGGAAAAGTTCATCAAATTCCTCAACAGAAATGCCTACATCATGGTGCGTGGGCCGGGCTCCTGGTGGGCGGGAGAATTCCCCTCCCTCTGCCGTGGGCCTGACCCCGTCCTCCCTCTCGCCTACAGATTGCCATCTATGGCACCAACTTCTGCACCTCGGCCAGAAATGCCTTCTTCCTGCTCATGAGAAACATCATCAGGTCAGGGATGACGCCCTCCACTTGTCACCTCCCTTCTCCCCGGCCCCCGTTTACACCTACTTCTCCTTGTCCCCTGCAGAGTGGCTGTCCTGGACAAAGTCACCGACTTCCTCTTCCTGTTGGGCAAACTTCTGATCGTGGGTAGTGTGGGTGAGTGTGGTGTACCCAGTCTGTTGCGACGTGTGAGCGTGTTGGGAATGACCTCTGTCATGTTGCTGTCTTTTCTTCTTCTTTTTTCTTTTGGAGATTTTTGCTATATAGTGTGTGTGCTCGCCAGAGAGATAGAGACAGAAAGCGAGATGTCACCCACCAGGCGTGATGGCCACACTGCAATCCCTTCTCCTCCACTCTCCTTGTGGGCATGTGCATATATGTACCTGGTGTATGTTTCAAACCACCAGGTCTGGGACTCAAACTGCCGTCAGCCACGTGGGAGTCCGGCACCTTTACCACCATGCCACCTGCTGGTCCCCCATGTTGCTTTCTGTTGTAGTGTCACCTTCCTGCAGGGAGGTAGTTTCTTTACAAAGAACTCTTTTTTAACTTGGAGCCAGCGTTTGGCGTAATTTCTATGTCGCTGGACTCCTATGTAGTCAACTGCAGTTCAAGTCCTGGACCTGGTGGCTTAAACTCATGCTGGGCGTGTGTGCATGCGTGCCTAAGATCCTGAGAGGAAAGGGATTGCGACGTGGCCATCCACCCTTGGGGGGGGTGATTTCTCACTTTCTGTGTCTCTGTCTCTCTGGCGCGGGCATGCACCCTATAGCAAAAAACCTCTCCCCCCAAAAAGAAAGAATTATTTTATTTAACTTTAATTAATTAACTAATCAATTAATTAAAATTTGACTAGAAGGGGACAGAGTAAGAGGGAAGGGGGATGAGAGAGAGGAAAAGTGACAAAGGAAGCCACCAGGTCCGGGACTCGAACCTCTGTCGGGTATGTGGATGTCCAGCTCCCATAACCCCCATGCCACTTGCTGGCCCACAGAGAAGTCCTAACCAACTGTTTTCTCTCCTCCTCCCCCTCCAGGGATCCTGGCTTTCTTCTTCTTCACGCACCGGATTAGAATTGTGCAGGACACGGCCCCTCCGCTCAACTATTACTGGGTCCCTATACTGGTAGGGACCTGTGGGGACAACTGGGGGTCAGGAGGTGGAGGGCTGGGACTTGCTTGGCCTCCTCAGGGCTGTGGGTGGAGGTCTGAGGTGAGAACCTGATTATTCAGTCCACAGACTTATTCTAGAACATTCTAATTAGTATATTTAAGAAAAAAATTTCCAGAAGGCATGCAAGGTTGCTGGAAATAAAAGAGCATAAGGAGGCTGGTAGGTGGTGTGGCTGTGAAGGGCGCCAGCTGTCCACATGGCTGACTGTGGTTCAAATCCCGGACCTGGCAGCTTGCTTTCTCACTTTCCCTCTCTCTCCCTCACCAAATTAAAAATAAATAAATAAATAAAGTTGAATAAAATAATTCTTTAAAAAAAAAAAGCGAGAGAGAGAGTAAGAAAGTACCCCCTCCTCCATGAGGGCTGGTTGCCCCATACTCCCCCTCCATCTCATCCTCCTTTCAGGACACTTGTACATACACCTGGTATTCTTCTCAGCTGCTGGGTCTGGGACTCACCCACATACTCAGGCACGTGGGATCCAGCCACCCCTACCACTATACCATGGGCTGGCCACAAAGCTTTATTTTCTTTTATGATTAATTTATTATCATTATTTAATTTGCTATAGGTCACAGGGACTCACCAGAGAGAGATAAAGAGAGATAGAAAGTGAGAAAACAAGCCACCAGGTCGGGGACTCAAACTGCAGTGGGCCATGTGGGAGTCTAGGCCCTTAACCATCACACCACCTACTGGCCAAAGTTTCTTTCTTTTATGAGCAAGAGATACAAAGAGACAGGCACCCCCAGCAAGGTCTTGGTGCTACAGTGTATCCCCCTCAGCTTCATGTAGCCCCAGATGTGGGGCAGTGCTTGCCCGGTGTCCTCAGGGAGGTCTCCGGACTTGAACCTGGAACCTTCCCACGTGGGTCAGCGTTTCAGAGCGTCATGTTTTACTGTTGCACCACTGTCTGCTCACCCCGCCCCAAGCCTTTATTGAGCACCTGTGTGTGCCACATACCGAGGTCAGAGGTTGCTTTCCTCTAGGGATAAGTAGATTGTTCGGTATAGTAATGGGCCCAGCTTCGGTGGCACACGCTGCTAAGTCACACCCACTCTGCCTGCTGAGGAGTCATGAGAAGCCCAGGTTCAATTCCCGCCGCAACCCAAAGGCCAGGCTTGGTGACACACACCTGTAATTGGTACCGGCTGGCAGTCTGAGGATGATTGCAACATAGTGACACCCTGCCTTGAAAAAATATACAAAATGTCCAAAAATAAATAAAAGAACTAAAAAATAACAAAAACATATATAAAATGAAAGAAAAAGAGGACTGGCCCTGTAGCCTACTGGTTAAGGGAAGCCGAACCCCACAGTTTAACCCTGAGTACAGTTCAAGTCCTGGTTCCAGTAACTTAAAAAGCACACTCGTGGGAACCAGCAGATGGGGTAATGGTTATGTTGTTGGCCTGCCACGTCGTTGACCATAGTTCAAATCCTTGACCCGGTGGCTTAAAACTCATGCTGGGTGCATGTGCATGCGTGCCCAAAATCCCAAGAGGAAAATGGAGGAAAAGGGATTGCAGCGTGGCCATCTCCTGTGGGGGGTGGTTTCTCCCTTTCTGTCTCTCTGTCTCTCTGTGTCTCTGATGAACGCATGCACCCTATAGCAAAATTCTCTCTAAAAACAAAAAACACACATTGTCATGGGGCCAGCCCGGTGCCGTCATGGTTAAGGCACTGGACTTCCATATGGCGTAGCACAGTTCAGGTCCCGAACCTGGCAGCTTGAAACTCACCTTGGGTGCATGTGCGTGCCTGCCCACAATCTCATGAGAAGATTGGAGGGAAGGGATTGCAGTGTGGCCGTACCCTCGTCGGGGGTGATTTCTTATTTCACCTCCCATTATCTCTGTCATCCACTGGCAAGCAGGTGTCCTATGGCCACTGCAGTGTGACCACTCCCCATTGGGAGGTGCTTCCCTTCCCTGTCTCTCCCTCTCTCTCTCTATCTCCCTCTCTCTGGCAAGTACGTGTGCCCTTGGGCAAAAACAAAAAAAGAAAAGAAAAGACAAGACAATGGGGAGTGTGTGATTGCTCAGTGGTGTTGCCGCTGGCCGTCTGCACAGTGCAGGAAGTTGTTAGGGCTTGTGGTGAAAGGTTTGGGCAAGGCTAGGGCCTGGGTGACTTCACCACCCAGATGGTGTTGAGTCTGAGATCTCAAGAGGTGGGCGTTCTCCGGGCAGAGGGAACAGGATGTATGGAGGCTGTGAGGTGGGACGTTCCAGGAACAGTGAGGTCAGTGTGGTTGTGGAGGGAATAAAAAACTAGAGGGGCCAGCAGGTGGCATAATGGCTATGTCGCTGGACTCCCATGTAGCCAACCATGGTTCGAGTCCCGGACCCGGTGGCTTAAAACTCACGCCGGGCGCATGTGTGTGCGTGTCCAAGATCCCGAGAGGAGAATGGAGGAGAAGGGATTGTGGCGTGCACGTCCCCCCTGGGGGATGATTTCTCGCTTTCTGTCTCTCTGTCTCTTTCTGTCTCACTGACAGCGCACACGCCCTATAGCAAATATCTTTAAAAAAATAATAAAAAGGAAGTAAAGTTGAGGTCAAAGAGGCGACAGGGGCGTGAGGGGTGAGTCTCCGTCCCAAGGCCAGGACGGTGTCTGAATACAGGGTTTGGAGCCCAGTAACCTAGATTTGTATCTTTTTGCTCGTTCAGGAGGAGTTACTTGGGTGAGTTATTTAATCTCTCCGAGGGCCCTCCCTTCACCAGGCAGCTAGCTTTGCCTTGGGAGTCTGCAAATTGCAGTGCAAACGAGCGGAGTTCAACAAGTTCATGGGAAAGAGGAATTAAAGTAAGAGTGTACTGGGACCCGCCCATGGCGACGTGGCTCAGGCGTTGGACTCCCACATGGCCAACTGTGGTTGGAGTCCTGGACCTGGCGACATGGAAGTCACGCTGCGTACACGTGGGTGTGTGCTCCAAACCCCAAAAGGAGACGGGATTGCAGTATGGCCATCCTCTCTGGGGGGTGATTTCTCACTTTCCCTCTCTGTCTCTCTCAGAGGAGCACACATATCCTGGTTAAGGGAAGCCCAACCCCACAGAGCTGAGTGCAGTTTAAGTCCTGCTTCCAGTAGCTTAAAAAGCACACGAGAGCAGATGGGGTAATGGTGATGTCGCTGGACTGACATGTAGTTGACCACGGTTCAAATCCCGGACCCGGCAGCTTAAAATGCACGCTGGGCGCTTGTGTGTTGCATGCCCAAAATCCCAAGAGGAGAATGGAGGAAAAGGGATTGTGGTGTGGCCATCCCCTTTAGGGGGTGATTTCTCCCTTTCTTTCTCTCTGTGTCTCTGATGAACACATCCACCCTATAGCAAAATTCTCTCTAAAAACAAAAAAACACACACATTGTAATATATAGCAAAAATCTCTAAGAAAAAATACCGTTTGGGGGACCCGCAGGTGGCGTGGTGACTAAGGCACTGGACTCCCACATGGCTGACTGCGGTTGAGTGCTGATCCTGGCAGCTTGCATTCTCACTTTCCCTCTCTGTTTCTGTCTCTGTGGTGTGGGCATGTGCTTTGTAGGAAATTTCTTTTTTTTTTTTTTCCAAAGAATTGTTTAATTTTGTCGTAATTATTTTTTAATTTGCTACAGGACACATGCACCCATCAGACAGAGACACAGAGAGAGAGAGTGAGAAAGCAAGTCACTGGGACCAGCAATTGGCGTAATGGCTATGTTGCTAGACTCCCATGTAGTCAACCGCAGTTCAAATCCTGGATCCGGTGGCTTAAACTCACTCCGGGCGCGTGTGTGTGCGTGCCCAAGATCCTGAGAGGAGAATGGAGGAGAAGGGATTGCGGTGTGGCCATCCCCC